ACTTTTCTTTCTTTCTTTTTTCTTTTTTTGAGACAGAGTCTCACTCTGTAGCCCTGGCTAGAGTGCTGTGGCATCACAGCTCACAGCAACCTCAAACTCTTGGGCTCAAGAGATCCCCTTGCCTCAGCCTTCCTAATAGCTGGGACTACAAGTGCCCACCATGATGCCTAGCTATTTTTAGAGATGGGGGACTTACTGTTGCTCAGGCTGGACTCAAACTCCTGAGCTCAGGCTATCTACCCACCTTGGCCTCCCAGAGTGCTAAGAGTACAGGTGTGAGCCACTGTGCCCGGCCAACAGGCATGTTTCTGTCTTAGGGCCTTTGTACCAGCTGTTCCTCTACTGGAAATGCTCTTCCCCCAGATGTTTTCCCCCTTGGTTTGCTTTCAGATCAAATGTCACCCTCTCAGTGAGGTCGCCCTGACCATCTCTGTGAAAATCCCTCTTCCTGCCCCTGCCTTTTCTGAGCACTTATCGCTCTTTAACCTATGTATTTATCACGGTCATTGTCTAACCACCTGGTTAGGACATCAGCTCCATAGGGCAGAGATCCCTGTCTTGTTCACGGCTGTCTTCCCAGTACTGAAAACAAGGCCCAGAACATGTTAGACACTCAATAAATAATGATTAAATAAATAAAGGGAAGAAGGGAAAGAGAAAGGAGGAAAGGAAGGAAAGAGGGAAGAATCTGGCAAGTCTGTGAGCTCCTAAGGCTTGTCAGCTGCTCCAACTGAGAGGATGGAGTGTTAACACTTCCCATCCTCCCGGATAAGACAATGCCAGGCTGGGAAACTGAGGCACAAGGAGATAATCTCCTTGGACCACAAGGAGCCAGGCTTCAAACTGACTCTGAGGACCAGGATCAGAAGAAAAAGCCCCAGCGCCACCTGCTGGTGAGTGGTGTCATGATTGTTGCATCCACTGCTGACTTGAGGATGGTGATGCCCCTGGCCAGGCGGGCAGGAGATGAGGTGGCCCAGGGGCATCCTGGCATAAGTTCGGGATCCACGGAGGCACTGCTGTAAGCCTCTTTATTCCTGAAGCTCCATGGGCATCCTACCCAGTCAGTGCTATGCAGGAGGGTGGGACTGTGCCACTAGGGACGTGTCGCGTATCACTATGTACCCGCATACCTGCCCTCCCTCCACAGCCAGCCAGGGCTCCCACCTCTCCAGGAGGGAGAGCTGCCCATGCTCCATCAGGGCTGCATCCACCCAACATAGGGCCTCTGCAGGGCAAAGGAGTCAGGACCCGCCTCAACTCCCCACCAAGGCCTGGGCAGTGACTGGTCCCATCAACCAAGACTACAAGGCCTAGAGTTCCTGACAACAGTTGTCCATATCCCTAGAGGTACATCCTCCGGCCATGCAGGGGTCTCACTATCCAGACGTCATCCACAATCTTCCCATCCTGTGAGGGACAAAAATAGGGGAAGGTGGTGAGAACAGAAAGCCTGAACTCTGGAGCCAGATGGCCTGCTAAAATCCCATCTCTGCCTTTGATGGGCTGTCCAACCTTGGGCAAGTTGCTAGACTTTTCTGAGCCTCGGTTTTCCTCATCTGAAAAGTGAGGATGATAGTAATAATACCTACATCATAGCTGTTTTGGGAAACAAATGAGATGATGTTTGTAAAGAGCTTAAAACAGAGCCCAAAATACAGAAAGGCCTGCAGAGGTATAGAGTATTAGAGCACAAACCATGCAGTCAGACAAACTTTGGTGTACGTCCAGAGCATCCGTTCTCCGTGTGGTCTTAAGCACAGAATAGGATGCTGAGCTTAACTTTCATGTTTTATGCAATGGAGAGAGTAATGGAACAGCCTGCACATGGGAATCACAAAGACTGCATGAGATACCGCAAAGATGCCAGTGCCAGCCGATAAGTAGTGGTTATCAGATCCCAGCTCAGCCATCCACCAGCTGTGTGGCCCTGGGAAAATTACTTCCCCTCTCTGAAAAATGGAAGGAAAATCCTTCCCCATGGGACTTACGTGATTGGTAAAGTGTTATTAAATACAGAGCATCCAGCCCAGGGCCTGGTACCCAGCTCAATAAGTCATAATTATTATCATTATTTTAAAACTACAATGGCAACAGGGTGCAGTGGTTCACTCCTGTAATCCTAACACTCTGGGAGGCCAAGGTGGGTGGATCACTTGTGTTCAGGAGTTCAAGAGCAGCCTGAGCAAGAGCGAGACTTCATCTACAAAAAAAAACAACAACAAAAAACTAGCCAGGGGGCGGCGCCCGTGGCTCAAAGGAGTAGGGCGCTGGCCCCATATACCGGAGGTGGTGGGTTCAAACCCAGCCCCAGCCAAAAACTGCAAAAACAAACAAACAAACAAAAACTAGCCAGGAGTAGTGTTGGGCACCTGTAGTCCCAGTGATTCAGAGGCTGAGGCAGGAGGATCACTCGAGCCCAGGAGTTTGAGTTTGCTGTGAGCTATGATGACACCATAGCACTCTACCCCAGGGTGACAGAATGAGGCTCTGTCTTAAAAAAATAATTAAAAACTACAATGGCAAAAAGAAAAGTGAGCCATTATTACTTTATTATTTGGGTCCACCTAATCTCAAACCATCCCTATCACACACACACACAGACATCATATTGCTTTCCTGTCCCTGCCCCACCTCACCTGCCTCTGCCTTCCCTGCCTTACAGTGATAATACCTACAGAATTTACCAAGTCCCAGACCTAGTCTCTCTTTCTCTCTCTCTTTTGCCATCCTTGGTAGAGTCACATGGCATCATCCTAGCTCACAGTAATCTCAAACTCTTTTGGCTTGAGCAATCCTCTTGCCTCAGCCTCCCAAGTAGCTAGGAGTACAGGTACCAGCCACAAGGCCCGGGTAGTTTTTCCATTTTTGGTAGAGATGGGGTTTCACTGTTGCTCAGGCTGGTCTCAAACTCTTGAGCTAAAGAGATCCTCCCCACCTTGGCCTTTCAGAGTGCTAGGATTACAGGCATGAGCCACCAGGCCCAACCCAGACCCTGTTCTAAACACTTCATATTTAATATCATTCAACCCCCACATAATCCTGTGACATAGAAATTATCACCCCCTTTTCACAGATGGGAAAACTGATGCTCAAAGAAGTTAGATAAGTTGCTTGAGGTTATTCAGCTGGCAAGTAGCAGAGGCAGGATTTGAATCCCGGATTTCTAGCTCTAGAGTCCACATTCTTAACCACTCTGCTCCCGAGCACACTAGGCCTGGTGGCCCAGTCGTGTGACTTAGGCCTACACCTCACTGACCTGGTCATCAGACACCTGCTGGATGTGGACGTGGGTCCCGTTCCGGATGTGCAGCCGTGTATACCCATACTCTTTTACTCGCACGGCGCTCCAGGGCCTCGGGAAGAGAGCAAAGGGGGTGAGCCGCTCCTCACAACCCTGTGGGATAGAACTGGTCAGGCCCGGGGCTGAGGCATATGGAGAACCCACAGGAAACACAAATGACCTGGTAGGCCAGGACCCTGATGCCCCCAGGAAAGATAAAATTGGTCAGGACTGGGCCACAATCATGCTCACAATTGAGTGTTTTGACCCAGCCAGGCTTCCTTTGCCCCAGGTCTTTGACTTCTAGAAAAGTGCAAGGCTGTACAAGACTGCTCATGACAGCATTTTCTGTAAGAGCCCTGCACTGGAAGCCATCCAAATGCCGAGCGGGGGAGTCAGTTCAATAAATTATAGCACAGCTACCACAACCCAGGGTGATAGAGAAAGGTGGCCAAGATATATTTGTGAAGGGGGAAAGCAATTTGAATAAAAGAAATCATGGGGTCTCAATTCCTGCTACATAGTAGACCCTCAAAGAAAGCTTTCTATTTATTTGTTTTTTGGAGGGAGGTTGAGATAAGGTCTTGGTCTGTCACTTGGACTAGAGTGCAGTGGCGTCATCACAGATCACTGTAACCTCAAACCCCTGGACTCAAACAATTCTCCTGCCTTAGCCTCCCCAGTGGCTGGGACTACAGGTGTATACTCCCACACCTGGCTAACTTTTCTATTTTTTTGTAGAGATGGAGTCTCACTGTGTTACTCAGGCTGATCTTCAACTCCTGGCCTCAAGCGATCCTCCCATCTCAGCCTCCCAAAGTGCTAGGATTGTAGGCATGAGCTACTGTGCTTAGCCCAAGAAAGTTTTTTAAAACACCAATGCCTGGGGAGACAGAGAGCTCATCATGGAAGCTGAAAGCCAGGGAATAGGGGCAGGGAGGAGGCGGGAACTAGGAAAATCACCATTTTGCAGTGAGCATTCTAATAACTGATTAAGCAAGAATCTTCAATGAATAATGAAGTAGTTGGGAAAGTTTGAGGAATAACAGGACATCTGCACGGTCTCAAAAGTATCTCCTTAGGAGATGCTCGTTAATTAGAGAGGAAAAAGGAGTCCCTTAATGGAGGAGAGGCCTGGCATACATGGCCTTAGCCAAGTGATCAAAGGGAACACCACCAGTAATGAGATAGATCGATACCACACTTTCAGCTGGGAAATCTGAAAAGTGTCAAAAATATATCATGCACCTCTCATAGGAGACACTGAGAATACAGTATCACTTTTGTGTGTTCTCACCAAAAATTCGTAACTTCAATCTTATCACAAGCAAACATCAAATCAACCCAAATTGAGGGATACTTAACAAAACAACTTCACTATACTCTAAATTGTCAAGGTCATGAAAAATGAAGAAAGAGTTACATCAGTGTTTCTGATTAAAAGAAGCAAAAGAGGCTGGGCACCATGGCTCATGCCTGTAATCCTAGAGCTCTGGGAGGCTGAGGTGGGTGGCTCGCTTGAAGTCAGGAGTTCGAGACTAGCCTGAGCAAGAGTGAGACCCATTTCTACTAAAAATAGAAAATTTAGCCAGGCATGGTGGTGCATGCTTGTCGTCCCAGCTACTCAGGAGATTGAGGCAAGAGAACTGCTTGAGCCTAAGAGTTCTAGGTTGCAGTGAGCTTTGATGATGGCAATGGACCCTAGCCTGGTGACAGACACTACATAATATCTCAGACTAGATCCTAGACCAGGAAAAAAAGTTTCTTTTCTTAGATTTAAAGGACACTAATGGAACAACTGGCTACACTTGAAGGTCTCTAGATTGGATAATACTGTAATAGCAATGTTAACTCTTTTTTTTTTTTTGAGACAGTCTCACTATGTCACCTTGTTAGAGTGCTGTTGCGTCTCAGCTCACAGCAACCTCAAACTCTTCGGCTTAAGAGATTTTCTTGTAGGGCAGCTCTTGTGGCTCAGTGGGTAGGGTGCTGGCCCCGTATACTGAGGGTGACGGGTTCAAACCCAGCCCCGGCCAAACTGCAACAACAACAAAAAAATAGCCAGGCATTGTGGCAGGTGCCTGTAGTCCCAGCTACTTGGGAGGCTGAGGCAAGAGAATCATCTAAGCCCAGGAGTTGGAGGTTGCTGTGAGCTGTGATGCCATGGCACTGTACCAAGGGCGATAAAGAGAGACTCTGTGTCTTAAAAAAAAAAAGAGAGAGATTCTCTTGCCTCAGCCTCCCAAGTAGCTGGGACTACAGGTGCCCATCACAACATCCAGCTATTTTTTGGTTGTAGTTGTCATTGTTGTTTGGCAGAGTCAGGCCGGGTGCAAACCCATCAGCTCCAGAGTATGTGGCTGGCACCCTAACCACTGAGCTATAGGCACTGAGTCAGCAATGTTAATTCTTAAATTTGATAAGTGATATTGTAGTGATGTATGAAATTTTTCTATTTTTTAGAAAAAATTACTCTTGACTGGATCTGAAAATAAGAATAAAATGGAGAGAGATCAAAACTAATGTGGTTAAATGTTCATATTTGGGAAATATTGGTGAAAGGGATATGGAAAGTCTTTGTATTATTTGTGCGACTTTTTTGTCAGTCTAAATTAATTTGAAAATTTTAAATAAAATACAAAAACTAATGTGTGCTGAGAAAGACACGAGTAGAAATCACTTGTGGGCAGGGCCTGAGTGGAAGGGGCTGAGGAGCCCTCTGGTGCAGATAACATTCTATTTCTTGCTCTGTGTGGTGGCTACAAGGGGGAGTCCAATTCCAGGGTCCCACCCTCTGAGATTCAGGGGTAAGCACTGGAGTTTTAAAAGTTCCCCAGGCTGATGGCTTACATCTATAATCCTAGCACTCAGGGAGGGCAGAGGGGGTAGATTGCTTGAGCTCAGGAGTTTGAGACTAGCCTGAGCAAGAATGAGACCCCATCTCTACTTAAAATAAAAAAACTAGCCAGATGTTGTGTGGAGCACTTGCAATCCCAGCCACTGGCGGGGCTGAGGTCAGGGAATTGCTTGTACCCAGGAGTTTGAGGTTGCTGGGAGCTTTGACACCACAGCACTCTAGCCATGGTGACAGAATGAGACTCTGTCCCCAAAATAAATAAATATAAAAAATAAAAGATCCCCAGGGAATTCTGAGGTGAAGCGTGATCCATGTCATTATTTTATTTTACTTTACATTACTTCACTTCATTTTCTCTTATTTATTTATTTATCTGAGACAGAGCCTCAAGCTGTCCCCCTGGGTAGAGTGCCGTGGCATTACAGCTCACAGCAACCTCCAACTCCTGGGCTCAAGCAAGTCTCCTGCC